AGTCAGAATTCCAGCCTGGTGATTCACCAGAGGACTCATACGGGAGAGAAACCATATAAGTGTCCAGATTGTGGGAAAAGTTTCAGTCAGAATTCCAATCTGGTGAGACATCGGAGGACTCACACGGGAGAGAAACCATATGAATGTTCAGATTGTGGGAAAAGTTTCCAGGATAATTCCAACCTGGTGAAACATCAGAGGACTCACACAGGAGAAAAACCATATAAGTGTCTTGAATGTGGGAAAAGTTTCAGTCGGAATTCCCATTTGGTAATACACTGGAGGACTCACACAGGAGAGAAACCCTATGAATGTCCAGATTGTGGGAAAGATTTCAGTACTAGGTCTAGCCTTATAAATCACGTAAGGTTGCACATAGGGGAGTAACCATTCAACTACCCAGGTTGCGGACAAACATTGTTTTGGACAAAATTCCTCCCTTACCCCACACAAGAAATTGCACTTGAGGCAAAATTTGATGTCTGTAGAGGAATCTGGAATTTTGTTTCTTATCTCTCGTTTGTAACCCAGCTGAGCAATTTGCCATTTAATTTCTTGCATGATTCTTTTCAGTGAAAATATGCCCTGTAGCACTGCATGGCACTGAATGCTGGGTAGCAAAAACTGGGACCAAAGGCTATCTCCATGGCATGGAAACGCCAAATGCTCCGTTAGATATCGGGCAACTCCTTAACCACAGTACAAATGACACTATTCGACAGCATTTTGGTGTGGCAGCAATTATAGAGAAGATGAGAGAAGGCCGACCCTGCTGGTGTGGACAGGGACCAGCACCATCCACCATGGCCAAGACTTCCTACCAACTAGAGGTCAATGGCTGGCAACCTCGTGGGCATCCAAAACAGAGATGGCACGACACCATCAACAAAGATGTGCAAACCTTGGGCCTGTGTCCTGAAGATGCAGCTGACCGTACAAAATGGCATTCAGTGATACGAAAAGCAAACCCTGCACCTGCAGGAATATGCTAGAAAGAAGGTGGGTTTTTTTAGAGAAAGAAGGTTCTTTTAGTGAAACATCTTAGCATCAAACATGAGGGATAGAAAGATCAGATAGGATAATCTGTATTATATTTGCCACCTTGAGTTATTTCTACATATAAAAAAAAGGGATATAAGTATGTATGTATTTTTACTCAGTAACAAAATGTATAGAGCAACCCAACTCATGTGACTTCACTTAGTTTACAGCAATAAAACCTTATTACAGAAACCAATAAACTCCGTATGTTGCAGGTGGCAAAATGCAAAGTATGCATTTAAAATGTACTTGCCCTGCAAACACAGGTCACTTCTAGTGAAGTTGATGGCATTTTGATGACCTGGGAATCCCGAAAAGGTGATTCTTACTTTTGTTCAATTTTGAACTTAACCAGGCTTCCTGCCTTTACTAATTCTGTTCATGTCAGGTGCCTTTCTTGCTCAAAACCGGTTAATCTTTCTCCTTGCAAGGAGTCAAATTGGGGAAGTTAACCACAGGATCTGCGGCATGTAAATTTAATAAATATAAACAAAAACCTGGCTCCAAATCAAGTTTCTTGCATTGAGGCAACCTTTTTTTAAAAAAAACAAATTTTATTAATTTTACAAAACAATATACAGACAAACAAAGCATAGGATATAATAACATAAGAGATCTTTTTCTGAAAAAACCAATAAGACATCTTATTTAAAGACAGAATAATTCCAAATTATCACATTTCCATATGAACACAATATATATATATTTACCCTTCTTATCCCAGGGCTTAGGGGATCTAGGGCATAAGTGGCCCACCGCGCAAGGGCTCCCTTGTCCAGGAAAGGGCGTAATTGGCAGACCAGATGAAAATCTATGCAAAGCCCCTCCCCCCAGTCACGATCTTCTCAAGCAGAAAACACGAGTCCCGGAGGACCTCCAGGTTGTGCACCAGCTCAGTCCCCCAAAGTGATGACATGACCCCAGGATGCTGCAACTGTCAGAAATAAAGACCCAATTGCCACGTTTTTGAATTTTGATGATGGGACAACGGGGATGCTGCAAGAAAAATGGTCATTTTTTCAGTGCTGTTGTAACTTCACACGATTTCCCATTTACAATTGGTCCAGTGCAGTAAGCCAAAACGAGGTGAGCGAGGCATTAATGACTTCTTATTCTCTGAAGTTTGATCACATGACCAACTGGGCATGCCGCGAGGTGAAAAATGGCCACGTCACCTTTTTCAATGCCCTTGTAACTTCAAATGGTCACTGATTGAAATGTTGTCAATCAAGGACTGACTACCTGTACATAATCAGTTATCATAGGATGGGTGGCCTCCCCTAGCAGTTTCATGTAGACGCTGAAAAGCAGCAGCAAATGCCTTGAGACCCGGGGCACCCCAATTTCAGGGGCCAGAACTCGGTTCCTCTTCTTCACACACCAATTGAAAGTAGAAACAGAACCACCACAATAAATTGCCTCCCATTTCCAGTCCCCAAAGCCGGTCCGGAAGGATAACAAATCGATGGGGTTGAGATCTCGGGAAGACATAATAGTTGTGACCC